TTTTTAAGAGAAAAATTTAAATTTATGAAATATGAATAGTATCCAAAAGTTAAAACTCCTAAGAGCTGATCCGAACAAGCCTTAAATGTCTTGGAATAACATGTGTCGGGTTCTATTTGAAAGTACTTGTATACCATTATGTATAATTTTCACAATGAATCTATTGGTTCGAATGAAAAGAACATGATTCCTTTTAGGTAAAGTTTTAAGTTCAAGTCATGTGAATGGAAAAATAGGTGTCAAGAAAACTTTCACTTATAAAATTCGATGTGATTTGATTTCAAATTAATTAGAATTCATTATGACTTTCAAATACTAAAAGATTAATAAAAAAATTATTTATAATTCCCTAACTAATGTAGGAATCTGAAATATTTGTAGTTCATATAAATATTGAAAACAATGATTTATGCAAATAGAAGAAAATTTCTGGAAAAATATTTTACTTATGGGCATGAATGTGGGGCCTAGTTTAAGCATCCTAAATTCTAGAACATAAGAAAATCTGAGAAAACCTTCTTGAAACCTGCCATTCGTCCTTCCATGACCGAAGTCTTGGAGATGCTTGAAAGTGAGGTTGACCTCCTTGAAATGCGCCCCAAGCCTACTTTTGTTCCTTCCGAATTGCCAGCTCCAGATCATGGCAGTACAAGTCCTGCAGCCGTCCCAACCATGTCACCCGATGCTAGATCGTAATGGTCTACTCCAAACGCATTTCTGGGTAAATGCACATTCACTGTATGTAGCTTTGAATATTGTTCCATAATCTTATATTTTTAATTTTTTAATTTGGTAGATGACCCACTCAATTTTCTTCATGTGAAATGTATCAAATTTCTAGTGCCCAGTGATTATTTCTAGAATTGGATTATAAATAAAATGGTTTATGAATGATTGAATGAACCTTGTACTGCATTATTCTTTTAGCAATAACATCTTCAGTAGTCTTTTACATTCGACTCCTCATGTAACCATGTTTCGAGAACATGTGTAGAAAGCAGCAAGGTCATCAACTATGAAGCCTGTGTTATTTTAGTCCTTTTGCTTTGAAACTTAACAACAATGGCGTGTCACTTTTGTTGTGTGATACTCTTGTCCTCGGATTTGTTTCTTTAATCTGGTTATTTTCCCTTTTTCAGTTGGAAAGTAGCAATTCACCTTCGTTCCATATCTCAAACTAAAGTCACTACAAGTAAATGTATCTATAGTGATGGAAGTTTTCAATCTATATACATCTTTTTTCCGTCAATATAAATCCCCAAGAACTATTCCAACGGAAGAGAGCTCTCAGTTGGTGCAAACCTCATCTATATAGGTTATATACCAATGACTAATCCATATGTATAGACCCCTAGGATCTATTCCGATGGAAGACTTGTCCATTGATATAGATCCTAAGAAATTTTAAGAGATTTTGCCGTCTGTATAGACCCCTAGGATCTATTCCGATGGAAGAATTGTCCATTGATA